CCCACTACATGACAGGTACGATCTGAGATCTCTCCTCAAACAAAACAGACAAAAATGTTTGTCCTCTTGAAACTTGCAGTCTAGTGGGGATCGGTAGATATTGCAGGTGATGATGATGTCCCACTAGGAGTGAGACAGTGGAGATAAAGAGAAGTGGTTGGATTTGGGGATGTGTTTTGAGGGGTAGGTAGAGTAGACAAAACTTGATGATGGATAGGATAGATTGGACATCACTTCCTCCACAAAATTTTCCCTGGACCCCCAATATCAGATGAGGTATCAAAGCTTCCCATATTTACCCTATTGCTACATACCCTGTACTGTAAATATTCCTTTACTTGTCTGTCTTATCTGTACTTTATCATATTATGCACCAAAACTCACAATGCTTGGCACAGAACAGTAAATTTATTAAATAAATAAACTTAATAGTAATATTTATTATCATTAAATAAATTTACTAAATATATAAACCAGGTCCTTTATCAGGGAAGTATTCATTGCCCATCCAATGGAAATCTCTTTTAGTCTGCTGTGGGTTTTTTTTTCACATAAACAAGTAAACTTTATTTTTCCTCTTAGTCTACAAGCAATGCTGGCAAATTTTCCATAATGCATAGTAGGAACAAGTAGTATAAATGTTGATAATATCAGTTTTTCTCTTCATTTAATCTTAAAACAAATAGTTTATTATATTTTTATATGTTGTTGGTAAAACTGTTTAAACTTTATAAATGCTTAATGAATGCCTCATTCTACTTATGAGGCCTTGTGCAGCTCAATAGCTATTCAAAACAATTTCTTAGAAACTGTTTTTCATTTTTTATTGTTTATTTTTATAGAAGTATAGTCAGTTACAATGTGTCAACTTCTGGTATACAGCATAATGTTCCAGTCATGCATATATATGTATTATATATGTATGTGTGTGTGTGTGTGTGTGTATATATATATATATATTCATTTCCATATTTTTTCATTAAAGGTTATTATAAGATATTGAATATAGTTCTCTGTGCTATACAGAAGAAATGTGGTTTTTTTAATCTGTTTTTATATACAGTGGTTAACCCTTGCAAATCTCAAACTCCCAAATTTATCCCTTCCCACCCTCTAGTCTTCTGTGGTTTTATTCTGGTCTTTGAAGCAAAAAGTCCCTTTCTAGATTGAAATGATAACACCTTCTATTTAAACTATGAAAACATTTCTGCAAAGACTGGAAAATTACATTGCCTCATTATGACAGTCATACCTGATTAAACATTACATAACATCAGAAAATTAAAAGTTCAAGATTATAGACATAGTGCCAGGGAGCACAATTATAAGGAGTCAAATATTCAGTCAGGCTGTTCATGACATTTAAAAGGTCAGTGGCCAAAAGCACTCCACATCTTTAGGTAATGGTCAATGCAGTTCTACAGCGCCAGTCACAGCTCAGAAAATACTTTAGAAATAAACTTTAATGGAATTCAAATTTACGGGATCCCAAAATAGCCACAAAATTCAACAAAAAACAAAGAAAAAAAATGTCATATGCCAGCCACACACCGGAGTCTAGAAAATAATGACTGTTGCTGTTATTTTAAAAACCATCTCTCCACACTTCTAACTACAAATATCTAGTACTATAGAACTTCTCCAGTTACCCAGTGGAAGCTTAAAGCTCAGTTATCAGTGACAGATACTCAGTGATTCCTTCCAAATCCACATTTCCATTATAAATGACTATGTATAAATGGCTTTGTGCTCTCCAGTACTTGTGAATTCCCCATCCAAAATCAAGAACTGTATGGAAACATGTGAAGCCAAAAAGTAGTAGTAGCCAAAAAGATCCTAGAGAAGAAAGGAGTTCAATTAGGTGCCACTGGAATCTTCTACCCTTTTCTCCAGCCAAAGCTTTCAAAGAACTCTCCTCCTATATGTGTGACCGTCATTTCAAGGGTTACGCAACCAAGAAATGCGTCACCCTGCTGTTCCCCACTGTTACCCAGCAACTAATCTACAGCTGAGACTAAAACCCAATAACCCTAGCTTCTGATTCCAAGAAAGAATTATGAATTATGAAAAATAACCTGGGCTCTCAATAATCAAGATTCTCACATGTTAAAATATTCCCCTGAAAGATGCCAGCTCGTCTCAGTTCAAAGTTCCCAAAATTCCACCCTCTCCATAAGGTATTCCTAGACTGATCAGAGGAAAGGAGATGGTTTCTCCAAGTTCCTTGGTTTTGTCTCACTTGGTAAGTGAAATTCCCACAACCCTATAGGAAATCTGACCTTATTTGCATGTGTGGTTTTCAACATTAATTATTCTGACATATATATGTCAAAATCTGTGATCAAAACAAAGGGACATCATGGGCTTTGAGAAGGATATAACATCACTTCCATCATATTCCCACCCTAAATGCATAATCTGAAATTTACAACAAAGAAACATCAAACAAACCCAAATTCAAGGACATTCTATAAAATAATTGACTTGTAATCTTTAATATGTCAAGCTTGCGAAAGACTGAGACTGAGGAACTATTTCAGATTAAAGAAGACTAGAGAGACACAACTAAATGCAATGCAATGAGTGATTCTGGATTGGATTCTGTGTTTATATTTTCTACAGAGGACATTACAGGACAATTTCAAAATTTGAATCAAATCTGAATATTAGAAAATAGTACTGTATCAATGTTAATTTCCCAGTTCTAATAATTGTATTATGGTTATAAAAATGAATGTTCTTATTTGTAGAAAACACACACTGAAGTTATTTTAGGATAAAAGAGCATCGTGTCTGTAACTTACTTTCAAACAGATCAGAAAAATACACACATTTACAATTAGAGAGAGAATGGTGAAAGGGAAATTTGCCTGCCATTCCAGTAAATAACAAATGTTGCTCACCATCAAGCCAATAGCTACTGCAGCCACATGAAGCCCCCCACCCCCACCCCAAGCATGGTGCACCCTGAAGGGAATTCAGGATGTCAGGCTGGAGAAAACCAGGAAATACTCTGTGTTCTGAATACTGGCCCTAGATAGTTAAAATGCGTATCTAAGAAATAATTTCAATGAGCCCAGACTCTTGCATCTTCCCATATACAGTAAAGCACTAAAATCGGTACATTGAGATGTCTGTTCTTTGTGATTACCTTTTGATGTTCAACTATAGGGTTTTTTTTTTTCCAGCAAAAACTCTTAAATATCCTGGTTCCTCCTTTACCTCTTTGGAGCAGTTCCTCAGAGCTCTCTGAGAGGCTGTCTCTCTGGCTATAGTTCTCAGTAAGGTCCCTAAATAAAACCTAAATTTTAGATTGTGCATTTTTCTTCAGTTGATAGGTTTAGCGATCACACGAAGCGACCCAGAGCAGACTTCTCTCTTTCACATGAACTCTATCCTCTATCTGGAACCTTGGTACCAGCAGAGGCCCCGTGTACCCATTTGCAGTCTCAGAGAGTCCGGATGAATTTGGTGAGTCTCTATTGATTCTCAGATCTCCTGATTATTGGTTGATGATCCTGAGTTGTATTTGGTCGTACATAACAGGTACCTGCTCCCCCCGCCAGTTGAAAGATACTGTAGGAGATTTTTCTCGGTTGAAAGACACTGAGTGGGTTACCCCAGTTGAAAGATTTTACTATGTATGTATAGAATTTATACTTATAAATACTAGTTTACTTGAGAATTAAAGGAAGTATTGCCCTAAAAATGGCCAAATTGGGGTTCTTTTGACATTCCAAAATTAATTTTTTTCTTTTTGCATGTGCAGCTAGAAAAAGCTGGATAAAACATCTTTTCAAAATTCTGACCTTAAAGAAACAAAAGCCCTTCTAGGAGTAACTTGCACTTCTCTCCCTGTATCTTTGAAATGCAAATATTCTATCTGATCTTAGGAGCTTTTTACCCTATGTTTTGGGAGCTTGGTCTCTGTCCTCCAGAAGATACACATGCAGTGTACATTTGGCAGCCAGTCAAATAAACTGGGATTCTGAGCAATCATTTCGTCTGGCTGTACCAACTCTCAGGGAAACTTGTCATAAGGGTCCCAGCCCAAAGGGGGCTTTCATCATCTTAACCTTCATTGCGTCCACCTGGACAACTAAGCCCCTTTACTTTCTTAGGCTATTTCTGAGAGTAAGCTTTCTAGATCTTGTGAAGGCTACATCATTTGCACTGTCTTGTGGGGACGCCTCTTGCATCTCACTGGTTTGAGTTGCTATTAAGATACTACTCGTCGAGGGGCAGACAATGGAGCCTTTAAATTGGAGAAACTTCTAAATTGGTAAGCTTTTAGAGAGCTCTCATTATAAACAGCTGTTTTATTGGTACTTATTAAAAAACCAAATTAGAAGATAGACACACAAACACACACACACACACACACACACAACTCATAACAGCTAACCTAAGAACTCCATTAGTTTAAAACAAACAAACAAAATGGTTTGGGAAGCCTTATTTGTAGTCTCAGCCTCCCCTGAATGAGTCTTTCAGATGCTAATAAAAGTATCAGATTGTTAATTAGATTGATTAATGGGAATAAGAAGAAACTGACAGGAAAGTCTAGAGACTTCTTCTCAAAAAGGTGGAAACTTTAAAGAGACTCATCCCACAAGGATAAAAGTCTTTAGATAGTTATTAAGAAATGGGATAAATAAAACAGACGTTAATGGGATTAAACTAAGTTTTGATATAACACTACCTAACGTTGGATGGGCCAAAGGATCCCTGTTACTGGTCACCAACATTTAAGGACCCCAAACAAGTCTGCTCTATTTACCCCAGTTAATATTTAAATCTAAGAAATAATTTAGGTTTACTTTAATAAACTATTAAACTATTATATGCCACAACATGCTGTGAGGAGGTAATGAAGGGAGTTCAAAATAAACCTGGCAAGATTATTCCAGGGCTGCTATGCCAGTCAGCTTGAGAATTGGCACCCTGGAGGGAAGAGTGCTATCTTCACACAAGTTGCCCTGCTGGGTACCTACCAACTTGCCAAGCACTAATGCCTGTTCCGAGATGTTTGTCCACAGCGCCAACCTTCATCCAAAGACATTGCTGCAGTATTCCATTTGGCCACCTGAGGGCGTGCTAAAATTACTTTTTCTAACTCAGAGATTTCCAGGCATTGAGGAGGCAAGAGTGTGGGAGGTGTGAGTCCCAGGTATCTTCAGGTCCCTTGGCAGACTGCTGATGTGACAGAAAAGAGAAGTAGTAGTTCCGACCTTAGCAAAACTGTGTTGTCTTCAGAGTTCAGCTTCAGTGTCTTCTGCCTGCATTACTACCCCTCCTTTGCCTTATTGTCAGAGGGCTTTCTGTATCCCTACACCCCTGTCCCTTCTCCAGAAATCCAGAGCCCTCTTGGTCTCTTCCACCTTCCTCCAGAGGTTTTACCCAAGGTACTCACTCCCACTCAGGTGTAAGATTGATAACGATGATCATCACCACAGCAGAACATCACAGCCGTAAGAAACTGATAACGAGGATAACCTAACGAGAATGTGGTCCCTTGCAAGAGTTTTCAATGTTGACAGGAACCTGTGGGGTCCACAGGCATCTAGCAGATTCCTGCACCAAGGCCACTCAAGCATCCAGTTGCTGCCCTTTAAAGGTAACAAAGAACATTCCTTTTTAAATACCTACCTGCCTTAGCTGAACTAACTACTCTAGACAATGATCAACCTTACAAAGCCCAGAAGCCTGGCCACCAGGACCGGTCACAATCCCCTACCAAAATCCCTAGCCGTACCCTTTCACGACCCTCTCTTCCCTGTTACCTCAACATCAACCAATCAGAGAACTGTGCATAAGCCAATCAAGCCCCCTGTGACTCCTTTGTGCCCAATGTCATGTAGGCACAAGGAGTTAGAGGTTACCCTCCCTAATAAAAGACCTCAGCAACCACCCTCAGGGTGCCCAGACACCTCTTGTCTGTGTCCCGCTGTTGTCTATGGCAGTATACCTAATAAACTCCTGTCCTATTTTCATCCTTTGACTTTGGTAAATTCTTTTACTGCCCACAGACCAGCCCGCAGAATCCCACAACAGAATTCATGCCTCAAACTGTACATTAGACTCAGATTAGAAATCCAGGCCTCAAAGCTGGTAGAGAATATGGTGAATAGAAAGAATATGGTGGCCCATTGAAGCCCTTATTACTCTCCTGAACTCATGCCCTGAGTGCCTAAAGAGAGAGCCTGGTTATCACCCAGCTAGGCAAGAAAACAGGATGCCTGGGATTTGTGGGGCTTGGGGAGGAATATTTGAGTTTCAGGACTGAAAACTGGACGCTGGAAGGGTGCTGGCTAGAAAGTAGAAAAGCAGATGGAGTGACAAACAGTCACCACTAAGAAACTTGGCAAATCTCCAGGGTTATCACAGCCTAAAAAAAAGACTGAGTAATAAAACTGTAAAGAAAGATTGCTGACCCTTTTGTAGTTGCCTTTATTGTACCCTGCTAAAAGCACAGTTTTTCTTTATTTTATTGTGTGTTTTTTTGGGGGGGGAGAGGTGGGTAACTAGGTTTATTTATTTGTTCGTTTTTTAACAGAGGTACTGGGAATTGAACCCAGGACCTTGTACATGCTAAGCGTGTGCTCTACTGCTGAGTTATACCCTCCTCCCTTCTCCTTTATCTTAAAGCAGAGAGGCCAGCTGGGTATGATAGAGCAATCCTGGCAGTTAGGACTTCTGGGGGAATTGGTGATGTCATGAAACTAAAATCTATCAAAAAGAACATTTATTTCCTAGAATTATGTTCTCTTGAAAAATCTAGTGCCCATTTTAAAAGAAATTGATTATTTGTAGATATGAAATCAGCAATTTACAACTTGTACACTTATCTATTCATTCATTCAAGAATCATAGACCTGAAATCAACTATACTTCAATATAGATACATACATACATACATACATACATACATACATACATACATACATACATAAAGTGATTGTGATTAGGTCAAAAAAAATTATAGACCTGGATTTTAGATGCCTTTTAAAAAGTTCTATTCAGGCCAGTACATTTTAACCTGCTGTCTCTGTGATCAATCAAGTTTTGAGCCCCAGGCTAGTCTGTCTCTGCCCCAATGCCCACTCCCCAGCCGAAATTGAGTTGCCACTCTACCACAATCTGTTGAGATTGTCCTCCAGTGAGGCAAACCAAAGTTTTTATTCACTGAAAATAGTGAAGCTATCTGGTAAAATGTTCTGGACCACCACCTCCTGGACAGCAGGAGACGTACCTCTTTCATTAAGGACCCTGTACGGTGTTGTCATTGGGTTGCTGGGCTACACACATTTCTGGCACTGTGTATTTTGAATAAGTAAGTGAATAAATACATTTTTGTGTGAGTTTGTGGTGTTCTTAAAAGGATTTATGGAGAAACACACAACCAAAAAGTGGCAAATATCTAGCATACACTCAACTTTAATATCAAATTATTACTTGCCTCAGTTAAAATCGCTTATCTACAAATACAGGAAGGCAAATAGCCAAAGTCAGCCTTTAGGAATGCACTTGCTTCTGTACTAAAATTTCCCTATTATCCACTTCATATCTTCCAATTAACTTACAATTAACTTGAAATAAGTATGCCCTTAAAGTCCACAGCATGAATATTCTTTTATGCCTAAAAGTAGTGTCATGTTAACAAACAAAATCACCTGCAACTTGCTTCAGTAGACCTGGATGTAAATTATCACAGTATTTATGGCTAAGCCAAGCTGTGAGGTCCCTCGGCTTTTTCTTGCCCTCTCTCTCCTGTCAGCCAGGACGACACCACTTGTCTTTCAGGACTCAGCTCAAGGGTCACAGCCCTCTGTGAAGCCCTTCCCTTTAACAGACCTTCCCCCGCTGCCAGTAAATGTGTCCAGTACTTCCCTCTGCCCATCCCTCTGTTGTGCCACTACAGACTTCAGGCAAGTCTCTAGGTCGCCCATCACATTTGTCTGCGCATGTGTCTGTCTCCTCTGCCAAAGATCAGGCCGTATTTGTCTTTGTAGCTCCTCTTCCTAGCTCAGTACTTGGCAACCCATAAGCCCTCAGTACGCGGCCATATATTTGTATGTTTTCATAATTATGCATCATATTCTCCCACTTGTCTGCTCCTTTCATCCTAGTCTTGTAATTGATTGTACAGTTGGAGCTAAAACATGAGCCAGTCTTAGGACAGAAACTTGATTGTCCAGCAGAGGGAGCCCCAAAGCCCTGGTTGGTGCTGGGGTGGTCTGGCCTATTACCTGTCCAAACTGCAGCCTTGGCTTCAACATTTCCCAACGCCCCTTCTCCCCGCTTAGGAAAAGTTACCTATTGTCGAGCCCAGACAATGTCAGGACACAGATGGAACCTGGAAGTACAGGGCCAGTCACAGGGGTCCTTCCAGAAAGAGATGGGTTCAGTTTTGGAATCCAAAATGCTGAAACAGCAAGCAGATAGCAACATCAGCAATGAGTACTAAAGGAAGCACCGACATCCCAAGAAGGATAAAAAGCATTGTTATTCTTGTTGTTGTTCTAGATAACATGCTGTGAGCATGGATTACATGTCAGGCACCATGCTAAGTGTTTTGCCTATGATTCAATCGTCAAAACAACCTTCTATGGTAGAAATCATCAGCCCACTTCATTCACAGATAAGGAACCTGAAGCTCAAAGAGTTTCATGGAACTTGCCTGTTCATCTTGGGAGTAAGTGATGGACTCAGGATTCAAAACCCAGTTTGTTTCAATGCAGAGCCCCGACACGGACCTAGTGTGCCATTCTGCTTTCTATAGGGAGATACCGAAAGCCCTAATTCGGGGAAGAAATTGCGACCAGGAAATGCAGTTAAATAGGCAACAAGAACACGGGTTGGTCATTGGACAGTTTATTTTTTCAGAAATGTATTCAATGCACCACTCAAAATAATCTATCTTAGCACTCTTTGGGAAACACTCAGTTTTAAAAAGGTGGGTAGGTTGTCTCCAGAAGGCCCCCAGTTCAGTTGCAAATATATAAACTCAGCACCCTTAATTCCGTGAGTGCTGAGTGTTTATTGGACTGATGGGCTTTCATGAATAGACTGTTGAGAGGACAGGGCACAGGGCAGGTGTCAAGATTAAGTGGGAGCTTTGAGAGGCCATGAGGGAAAGTGCCCTGAGGGAACTAGGAAGACTTAAAACGAAATCATTGTGCTGCTCAGAGGCTCAACGCAGGCTCTGATCTCCTGATGCCTGATTCTGCTCAGAGATCCCCATGCTTAGCTGGCCGGGAGAGAAAAGTGCTGGTGGGGAAAGTGTCACACTTGAAACTGCCTCTGTGTGAGGGCCAGGCGTGAATGCTGGTATTTCACTACGGCCTTATGACGGTGGACGTCGGTGTCATCTCTAAGGGTAGCCGTATCCCTGTATGTCTCACCAAGGAGGCTTGATTCCCATTTAGAAACCAACTCCTTCTGGAGGAAAAAGCCATCAAGGAGGACCCCATATGGACCCAAGCAGAGCCCCCGTGGAGGCAACTTGCAAGATCTGCACATCCACTCTAGCAGACACATTAGCAACCTAGCCGAGTGGAGAGTTGCCAGTCGAAACATTTGCCAACCCAACTGGGCTCCCAAATGTTTATGCGGATGGTACAACCTTCTGTCTCCGAGTGACTGGAGATGTGTCACGGAGGCTCTCTTTCTAAATGGAGCCTGAGATAAAGGCTCCAGAGTAAACCTCGCCTAGGAGCGCATATTCCAGGGGCCCCTCCACCTGTCACTATGAAAAAGAAAGGAGTTTAACATTTGGACCCTCAGGCCAAGCTAATTGCTGCTGCTTGGAAGGTCAGTCTTGGCAAGAGTATAACTAGCACATCATACCCGTGATCCGATGGATGTTATGGGTTAGTACGAGGCTGCAGTTAGAAGGTGACTCCATTTGAAATTGATTAAAAAAGAATTTAGTAAATAATGGTATTGATGGTATTGAAATGGCAAAAATCCATGAAGGAGGCCCTCCTGTGATCCATATTTGGGAACCCCACACTCCCAGAGGAGTATTGCCACAGTGGAAATCCCAGGAAGCGGGGCAGGCCTGTCGGGGAGAGGCATAGTCTCTGGGAGCAGACCCCTGTCCCCTCACCCTGGACTTCCCAGGAGTTGGCCCAGCCTGCCTGTAATGAAGGGCACACACTGCAAAGCCAGAAAGAGGGAGCCTCATGCTCGGGGACAGGAGCCAAATTCTCCCTGACCTGTAGAAACCTGAGCAGGGCTTCAGAGCTGGGTCTCCCACCAGCCCAGAGAGTGGGTGATGGGTTTCACTCAAGAGTTGAAGCCAACCTTTACTTTTGTTTTCTTTTCCACTTTCCCCCATTTTATCCATCCTATAAAAATCTCCAACCTTGTTAAGCTAACCGGATAATTTATGTGAATTAGCACTAGAGGATTCCTGGATCGCAGAGCACAAATGCTTAAAATAAGTGAATTGCCTACTTAGCTTAGGAAACGTTTTCTTTAACGGGATGGGTAAAACACTGCTGGCTGGGAAGAGGAGCTGCTTCTTGCTCACCTCCCAATAAGACTACCATAGTTCACAGACTTGGAGTAGAAAAAGGAGGCAGTAACAAGAGGAATTACAACCCCGACACAGAGGCTGACAGGCACGATGAACATACTCCGGGGAACTCTGCCAGGACACAGGAGGCTTCCATCTCATCTGAGTATGTCTGAGCCCATGACAGGTCCCCTCCCGCCACTGCAGAAGTCCCCCAGAGCTGACAGCACTCTAAAATGGTTCCAAATCAGCAAATGTGCACTCAGAGTATATACCAGAGAACATATATTTAAAGTCCTACACTTGGAATTCACCCTGCCTGCAACAAACCACGCACAGACCTCAGCCCATGGCTCTGACTCTTCCTTAGCAGGACCTGGTCCTTCACTCATTGGAATAAAAGGATAATTCGCAAATCGTTTTCTTTAGGGTAAATAAAAGCACCGCTAAAATGAGCTACAGTTCTCATTTCCACCCGGCCTCCCTTCAGAACACCACCATCGCCATAAGTGAAAATAGAACTTTGGTTCAGGCATTTCGAATTGTTCTCACCAGAAATACAAACTACTTCTGTCTGTCCACCAAGCGCATACAATGTAAATACGCCAGCATTAGATTTTTTAAAGGGTGGACATAGATTTTAAAAAGAATTCATCATCTCTATACCTCCTTCATGTTCATTTGGATCAGCAGTCATATAATTATTGCCCAACCCTTAAGAAACCAGGTTCAATCCCCAGTACCTCCATTAAAAATAAATAAACCTGATTACACCTCCCCCCCCCAAAAAACAAATAAAAAACGTTTAAAGTAGGGGATATTCCTTAAAATGGATAAAACCCTGGGGGAAGGTGCAATAGAGGGGTAGAGGATTTTTTTAAAAGGTTATTAAAGTGCTAATTTCCCTCTTAGATTTTGACTCTACATTCAAATTCATCCTCTTTCCCCAAAACTTGATCCTTGTCATATTCGTAACTGTGTGAGGAGATAGATGTTCACTAAATATTGTGACAATCATTTCACAATATATGTATGTTAAATCATTAGGCTGTACACCTTAAACTATTACAGGGCTGTATGTCAATTATATCTCAATAAAACTGGAATAAAATAAAATAAAATAAATTAAAAAAAAAACTTTTGCTCTTCCAAAGACCCCACTAAGAGGATGAAAAGACAAGCTACAGACTAGGAGAAAATATCTGCAAATCACATAACTAATAAAAAATATCTAAAATATATATATAAAGAACTCTCAAAACTCAACAGTAAAAATACAATCCATTTAGAAAATAGACAAAAGACATGCACAGACACTCACCAGAGAAGATATAGAGATGGCAGATAAGCACACGAAAAGATGTTCATCATCATCAGCCATTAGAAAAATGCAAATTTTCTTAATGAGAGATCCACAATGAGATATCACTGCACACCTATCAGAATGGCTAAGAAAAAAAATGTTGGTGAGGATGTGAATAAACTCTGTTAATGGTATTGGTAGGAATATAAACTTGTACAGTCACCCAGGAAAATTATTTGGCAATTTATTAAAAAACTAAACAATCAACTACTGTAAGACCCAGATATCACATACTTGGGGATTTATAGCAACTAAGTGAAACTGATGTTCACACAAAAACCTGTCCATGAATATTCACAACATCTTTTATTCATAATAACCAGAAACTAGAAACAATCCAAATGTCAGTAACAGGTGATGGTTAAGCAACACTACTAAGGAACAAAAAGGAACAAACTGCTGATACAAGCAACAACCTGAAATAGATCTCAAGGGAATTATGCTGAGTGAAGGAAAAAAAGCCAGTTTCAAAATGCTTTGTGCTGTATGATTCCATTATAACATTCTCAAAGTGACAAAATTATAGAGATGGATAATAGATCAGCGGGTGCCCGGAGTAAGGGCACTATGAAGGGGGTAATACCAGGGAGCTTCTTTAGGGTGATGGAACAGTTCTGTGTCCTGTTTGTCATAATCACTACACAGATCTATCCATGCGATAAAATTTCATAGAACTACACACACACACACACACACACACACACACACACACACACACACACGGTGAATCTGATTACGTTTTGTTTTTGAGTTAATGCAGTGGTTCTCAACCATAAGCAATGTTGCCCACCCCCAGCGGACACTGAGTAAAATCTGGAAATATTTTTGTTTGTGAAAACTGAAGCAAGGTATTGTTACTGGTGTCCAGTGGATGGAGATCAGGGATGCTGCTAAATATCCTGAAATGTACAAGACAGCCCACCCCACCCCACCACAAAGCATTACCCAGTTCAAAATGACAATAGTGCCAAGGTTAAGAACCACTGAGTTAATACTATTCTACCAATATCAATGTTTCTGGTTTTGACAAAGCACAATGGTTATATCAGTTATTATCATTGAGAAAAGCTGGGTGAAAGGTACAAAGGAACTCGCTGTACTAATATTTTTACAACTTCTTGTGAGTCAAACTATTCCAAAATAAAAAGTTAGACTAATTAATGCTTTTACTATGACTACTACTACTACTACTATTAATAATAATAATAACTCTCCAGCAACTCCCCATTGCTCTAAAGATAAAACCCAAACTTCTAAACATATATTCCATAACCCAGGTCAATCTCCACCTCTCACTAGGTGTGTGAACTTGGGCAACTCAAGCTCTCTAATTCTCAGTTTTCTCATCTATTGTAAAGTGGAAATGAGAATGTCATTAGAATGATGTGAATTAATGTTCACAAAAGCACTCTATTTTTTGTTTGTTTTGGGGGGGTCATTAGGTTTATTTATTTATTTATTTATTTATTTATTTAATGGCGGTACTGGGGAGTGAACCCAGGACCTTGTGCACGCTAGGCACATGCTCT